CTGAGAACAATACGGTCTTTCAAAAGTCCAGAGGCTTGGTCATCATATCACTTGCCCACTTCTTTCATCTGACTATGTTGGCAGGTCTTAATAAGGGCTTCTGTCTAGCTGCTCTGCAATGATAACCCAATCTGTGGAGAATCTGTTGAACAGATTTCGGGCTCATCTCACCAACTTTGGCCACTTATGCAGTCGTTAATATGGGATCCATTTCGATGCTCCTCTTGACAGCCCTTTTTGTCCTCTCTGATGGACCAGGACGACCCGGATGCTACTCAGTTGTTTCCTGAACTGCACGATGATTCTGTTGATCGTCGAAAGCGGGATTCCCAAATTCTGCGAAATTTGTCGCTGACTAATTCCACCATCTGCTTGACCAACTATTCTTTCTCTAACAAAATCTGACAATTTGAGAGAACCTTGAGTTCTAGGCATGTTGTAGCACAAGATAATTAGTGTGTGGACCATTTTCATTTATATAGTGCTCCGTGAACACAAATTAGTTAGCATAAATCAGTTAAATGACAAAAAATTAGATGTCTATTTACTTGTGACCACTCAGTGTGTGTGTATATATATATATATATATAATAGGTACACAATTGGTTAGGTGTATTTATATAATAGGTACACAGTATGTTGATATAGAAGGTGGGTTAGGTATATTTATATAACAGGTTCACAATGGATTCATATTGAAGGTTGGTTAAGTATATTTATATAATAGGTACACAGTGTGTTGATATAGAAGGTGGGTTAGGTATATTTATATAATAGGTTAACAATGGGTTGATATTGAAGGTTGGTTAAGTATATTTATATAATAGGTACATAATGAATTAGGTATATTTATATTATAGGTACACAGTGGGTTGATATAGACGGTGGGTTAGGTATATTTATATAATAGGTACACAAAGGGTTGATGTAGAAGGTGGGAAAGGTATATTTATGTAACAGATACACAATGGGTTGATATAGAACAAAGTATATTTATATAGTAGGGACACAATGTGTTGATATAGAAGGTGGGATAGGTATATTTATATAATAGGTAAACAGTGGGTTGATATAGAAGGTGGGTTTGGTATATTTATATAATAGGTACACAGTGGGTTGATACAGAAGGTTGGTTAGGTATATTTATATAATAGGTACACGGTTGATATAGGATGTGGGTTAGGTATATTTATATAATAGGTGAACAATGGATACATATTGAAGGTTGGTTAAGTATATTTATATAATAGGTACACAGTGTGTTGATACAGACGGTTGGTTAGGTATATTTATATAATAGGTACATGGTTGATATAGGATGTGGCTTAGGTATATTTATATGATAGGTACACAATGGGTTGATATCGAAGGTGGGTTAGGTATATTTATATAATAGGTAAGCAGTGGGTTGATGTAGAACAGGGTTAGGTATATTTATACATTCAATACACAATGAGTAAAAAGTGGGTTCATATAGAAGATGGGTTAGGTATATTTATATAATAGGTACATAATTGGTTGACATAGAAGGTGGGCTAGGTATATTTATATAATAAGTACACAATGGGTTCTTATATAGATGGGTTAGGTATATTTATAAAAGTACACAATGGATTGTTATATAGATGGGGTAGGTATATTTATATAATAGGTACACGGTAGGTTGATATGGAAGGTATATAAATGAGAAAACTAACTTTGTAGGTAACTGAATAATTAATCGAACTAGGTAACTGAATAACTAATCTAAATAGGATAGTTAATAAATAAACTAAGTTTGTCACTAACTTATAAGCAAGCTAAGTAGGTAACTGAATAATTAAACTAAGTCTGTAACTAACTTATAAGCAAGCAAAGTAGGTAACTATATAATTAAACAAAGTCTGTCACTAACTTATAAGCAAGCTAAGTAGGTAACTGAATAATTAAAACTAAGTATATAGCTGAATAACTAAACTAAGTATATAGCTGAATAACTAAACCAAGTAGGTTACTGAATAACTAAACCAAGTAGGTTACTGAATAATTAAAACTAAGTATATAGCTGAATAACTAAACTAAGTATATAGCTGAATAACTAAACCAAGTAGGTTACTGAATAACTAAACCAAGTAGGTTACCGAATAACTAAACCAAGTAGGTTACCGAATAACTAAACAAAGTAGGTTACCGAATAACTAAACCAAGTAGGTTACCGAATAACTAAACCAAGTAGGTTACCGAATAACTAAACCAAGTAGGTTACCGAATAACTAAACCAAGTAGGTTACCGAATAACTAAACCAAGTAGGTTACCGAATAACTAAACCAAGTAGGTTACTGAATATCAAATTGATAATTCACTAGTGTCTAGTGTGTGAGTAGTGTTTTCAGATTGATAATTCACAAGTGTCTTGTGTGTGAGTAGTGTTTTCAGATTGATAATTCACAAGTGTCTTGTGTGTGAGTAGTGTTTTCAGATTGATAATTCACAAGTGTCTTGTGTGTGAGTAGTGTTTTCAGATTGATAATTCACCAGTGTCTTGTGTGTGAGTAGTGTTTCAGATTGATAATTCACAAGTGTCTTGTGTGTGAGTAGTGTTTCAGATTGATAATTCACTGGTGTCTAGTGTGTGAGTAGTGTTTTCAGATTGATAATTCACAAGTGTCTTGCGTGTCAGTAGTGTTTTCAGATTGGTAATTCACTGGTGTCTGTGTTTGTGTGGTATTTTAAGTTTGCAGTATTGATAACTCACTCCTGACTTAGTGCCTATGTTTGAGTAGTTTTTTCAGTTTGTAAGATTAGTAATTAATGCCTTAATAGCTGTGTTTATGCAGTGTTTTCAGTTTTTATGACTGATAATTCTAGGATTACCAGATTTTCAAACCAATAAACCAGGACACCTCAGCCCTTGCCCCCAATGTCAAAATGATTATTACAAATATGAAATAATTTGTCTTTTATTTAATAAATATTTACTTGAAAGTTTTTTGAACTGTTTCACAATATTTCCAAAAATATTAGCATTTGCATCATTTTTGAAATAATTTCAACTACTTTTTTAGTGATAGACACAAAATAAATGAGCAAAAACATTCAAATTGTACATTCAAGAAATCTTTAATTATTTACTTTATCCATTTCATCTTAAAATAGGCTACTTAATACCTACATTTATTTAAGAACATTTTCAGACAAAATACTCTAGGTTTTAGCATTACTTTGAAAACTATTAGACATTTGTTGTGAAGAACTGTTGGAACGTATATGTTCTTTATATGACTGTGTAATGTGTGTTTGGATAAGTTCTTTATACTGATGTCTATAAAAGATTTTTATAAACTACTCTGGTATTAAAGTAATGTCTAAAAATATTTTTTATACTACTCTAGAGCCTTATACTTATACTACTATAATTCTTTGTGGATGTGGAGAAATATTTTTATGAATTACATACTTATCTTATGAATAACTACTTATCATTACAATCACTTGATTTTCTTGTAAGTAATTTGTTAAAGAATCTCATATTTCAAAAAATCAATCAAGGAACTGATAAAGATATTTGACTCACTGCACTTAATTTTGTTAGAAGATGAGCAGAAGCCATCTTAGCCATCTTAGTTCCAAATGTTACATTCTGTTGATACAGCAGGTCTAAGGAATCGCCTGAAGAAAGAATAAATACCGCTAGGCCACGCTCCTCAAACACATACATCTGAAAAAAATAATAAAAAAAGTAAATAACTAAACTGTGTTTCTTTATATTAAATGTTTAAATGTTCCAAATAAATTTAACAGGAAGCCCTTAAAGTTTATTCTTAAAACACAGACTAGTAAATTGAGTGAAAGCACTACTCAAACACAAACACTAAAGACAGTCTTGTTTGTCCCAAGAAAAGTTCTCTGGATAAAAAAAAAAAATATTGATTTTATGATAAACTGTCAGTCACATCAAATCACAAAGGTAATAGAACTAATTGAATTGTTCATTGTTGTAACATCTCCTGACGCCAAACTCTCTCATCTGTGCATGGTGAAAAACCCAGGTGTATGCAGGTCTGAATTAGGAGATAGTTAAGGTAGTGGTCATTGTCAAAAGTTATAATTTTCCTAAACTGAAACTATATTTCAGGTAAATACTTACCTCTTCTCACATAATAGCTTTTCTTGATTTGTGCTGCCCTCTATCTGTGTAATGTCTGCTCACCACTAGTCTTGAGGCTCTTACCTAACATCATGCATTTACACATATTATAACTGCATTGTAACATGCAAATGAACATGTGACAACCCTCCTAGCATAGCTGACTCCCTCTATACTGCAAAGCACAATCATCACTTCCAGAGTAGGCAAAAAAAGTTGCACCAGAAAAATGGAAGATGGGTGGGAAATATAAGAGGACATAACTATCTATCACTAATACATTTTCAATGTAGCAAAATTATAACTTCTGATAAAGTACCTTACATACCCTCACATAATAGCTAAAATCCCACATTGACCTAATGGAGGGACTGGTACAAAATTACCTAGATGAGCACCCTTCAGAAATGTGACCCCTCAATGAGGAAGAAATTCATATGAGACCATACCACATCTGAACCAGGTATACCCATCACCCTTGATGACTAAAAATGTTGCTAAATGGGTGGTAAGGTGGCACATCCAATAATCACACAGATGTGCCATTGGTGTAGAGCAGCTGGGACACTTCAGACCAGTGACACCAGGAATGGAACATCCAGTTCATGGTAGGAGAAGGATCACTATTGTCTTCACCTCAGGCCCAGGAACCACAAGGGAAAGAAAACTTCTGTCATGAGAACCCAAGCTAGCATATGTGCAGACCCAGTACACAAGCAACACCAGCCAACTGGGAACCTGACATTCAAGTGACGGTAGGAAGGTGGAATGCAATGTGAAGGATTAACTCCAGTCCAAAACCATGTGGCATTGGGAATGTATTGTTCAGTCCACAGTAGGAGTAGACTCCTAGCTCAACCACATGTGTGAACACTTATGTTGGCCAGTCCAACTCTAACCAACATCAGCACATCCAGGCAACTGTAGGAAGTTTCTGTAAATCTATAAGTGCTCCCCAACCCATAAGAGAAGCATCCATAAATTCGGACCAGAAAGGTTAAAGAGGAACACCAACTGTAAGGTTGTTTCTGTTGAGCCAAAAGGCAAAATAAGCTGGTAATAAAGTAGGAAGAAGAATAACTAAACCACAAGCTCCATCAATTGTAAATAAAAAGGAGAAAAATATTCCCATGTGTACAAACTATTGGGTCTGGATAAGAAAAAAGCTACTCCCACTGTACGAATCATCCCACAACAGTTCCTTCACAAAGAAACAACTGAGCGTGTTCGTGAGCAGCATGTTGGGCTGGAGCTAACAAAAACTCATCCTTCATGTAAGGATGGGAGCACAACCCTTGGTTATGACTAAGTTGAGCAAAGACCACAAGCATTCAACAGAAAAATGACGAAAACACCATACCAAATGGTGGGGAAATAAGGATGTCAAAATAGGCACCAAAAACTAGACATAAATGCTCACTGAAGTGTGCAGAAGGACTCCATGTGAAAGAAAGAAGGTCGAACAAAAGGTTAAGATGTGACAAACCTATAACTGGATCCCAGTCCCTAGTAATCTAGAGAAATACCAGCCTGGAATAAAATCCTGAAGAAGTATGATTGACAAGTTCTATAGCATCCTGGGGAAGTAGAGTCTGAACCACTTCCAAGAAATGATGGCCAGAAAGTGGATGCTGAGGAGAAGGGAAGGAGACAGTATTTGGGGATAAAGGAGGAAGGTGAAGGAATAAACCTTATGCCAACACCCAAATGAACCAAAATGAAATTGTAATAGAGGTACTCAAACCTGGTCAAACATACACCCACTGTGTCAGAATCCACGAGATAAACACTTGTACCATTGGTAGTGTGGAATTTAGTGATAGGCAAGAAACTCAGGCAGAAATGAAGGGGAATTGGCAAACAGCCTCTATTCTTGATGTCTGTGATTTTGACATTCTCCAAATTTGACTACCATCAAAATGGCACCAAAAGTCACCCATTAATAAACAATGCATCCCTACCCAGGAGATCCCAACAACAAAGAAACCATGTTTCAAGGGAAAATGTTGAGTAGGTGCCAACATGGAAAACATAAGTGAAAGAGTATCCTCAGAAAAGCCTGTGGGTGAGAGGTGGATAACCATGGAAAGGAGAGGAATTTAAAATAGGTAATTGAGGATTGTAGTAAGGGTCAAATGGAGGTAGGACAATTGGGCAAGGAAAAAACATACAGAAGAATCAGGGTTAGACTCAATGAATAAAATTAACCACTCTTAACAACTGAGAGTCTAAATATGGAGAAATTGGCATGCACATATGTAAAAGTATAGCTAACAGAAGCCTGATGGGAATGAGGCATGCACATATAGAGTGCAGCACAAATCAAAGAAAACAAATATTTAAGCAAAGGTAGGGTACAATATCCAAACACACATTACAAAGTCATATAAAGAACTTATCCAAACACACATTACACAGTCATATAAAGAACTTATCCAAACACACATTACACAGTCAAGTAGTATTACATCATGTTTTATAGATGTCAGTTTAGGATTATAACCTGTTTTATAGATGTCAGTGTAGTATTATAAAATGTTTTATAGACATCAGTGTAGTATTATGTCATGTTTTATAGATGTCAGTGTAGTATTATAAAATGTTTTATAGACATCAGTGTAGTATTACATCATGTTTTATAGATGTCAGTTTAGGATTATAAAATGTTTTATAGACATCAGTGTAGTATTACATCATGTTTTATAGATGTCAGTTT